GATTCGGAAGAATGAATGAGATGCCGTGTTACTCATCATGACCCCCGCACGTGAAGCGTAAGTGGGAGTCATATTGTTTTTGTAGKTTTTTTTTGTTTTGTTTTGTTTTGTTTTTTGTTCTGTGATTTTTGGTCAACCGTAGCACAAAAACGGCTGCACCGATCAACATGACATTTGGCAGGGCTGTAGATGAGTCTGACCTACACTGYGCCAGCCAACAGTTTGACGATAGACCCCATATTTGAGGAGGGGGCTCTTTTCAAAGTGGGGGTGTCTGGACATGCAAAAACGCTTATAACTCAGAAACTGTTCAACATAGGAGCTTCAGATATAGACACTCACCCAAGCCACTAGAATTTTGGGATGCAYCTAGTAGCAAGACATTTATTAGGAATAAAGACTTCTGAGTTCTGGTGTATTTGTGCTTGCGGGGGTCATTACTATGTGGGACCTAGTTTGCTCTTTTGGTTGTAGATTTGCCCCATTTTTCTTTTCTAATGCCTTATCAGCAACACAACATCCTGTTTTCCAGCCCTGTTGTGGGCAACTAAATGGTGATTTAATCTTTGGCAGCTTGACGTTTTCTGTTCCAGTTAATAATTATAATCATAAAGCTGATGATTGACGGGACATTTACTTTCAGGGAAGCAGGAATATTTTCTTGAGGGATCCAGATTTTGTGAGTTGTCTAACATTTTTACATAAGCTTCCTGCAGAGTTAGTTTAACACGAGTCTTACCACTTCAGAGATAAACTGACAAGTTAAAACAACTTTCATGTGCACAACAGCAATGCAAAGTGAACGAGGAAAAATCAGCTTTAATGTTGGGTTTTTAATGACTTAATCGTTTTTAAGGAGTTTGGTTCATTTAAATGGAATCACTTCATCAGGAGTAATTTTACTTTTTTAGTTTTATCAGATACAAGCTGTAAATATTGTTCAAAAACAGCCTTTTTGTTGTCTTGCTGGCAATTTAGTGCCCGTTCAAACAGTTTACATCTGATCCTCTGCGCTCAGACCTTGTTATGTTGAGAGAAACTTGCATTAGGATGTTATCTATAAACACATCCCCGACTCTTTCTAAACTTTACTTTTAAAAAAACCAAGCAGGAGGCAAACTGACGTCGAGGACAACAGCAGGACACATTCTGAGAAAAAAAACATCTTGTTTAGCCAACTTCAAGTCATTGTAAACATTTCAGTCTGTCAGTGCCCGTTTAAGCTCATTTCTGAAGCTGTTGTTGAAAGGAAAAGGAAATCAGTTGATTGGAGCTCCACAAAAAAACAAAAAAAAAAACAAAAAAACTGAAGGTCTTTCAAACTGCCGTTTTACTGAAGTGTAGATAAATAAATACAAAAAGGAAATTTTAAAAATCCAACTGAACACATTTTCTTATTTGTAAAAGATCCAATTAGACATAATTTAACAAAAAAAAAACATACCTGATGCACATTTTGTGTGTAAAAGAAACACCTATTRATCCAAACATGCTGGATTATTGTACTAAATGAATTTAAAAAAAGAAATGTAAATAAGTAAGCAAATTTTACTTGTGTAGCACTTTTCATAGATATGCATATCACAAAGTGCTTCACAAGTAACAAAACTGAAAAAAATACTAATACAAGCATAATAACAATAAAACAAGTTAATTTAAGTAATAAAACACTACCATACAGTGCTGCTAGAATAACTTTTAACTCCAGAATGGTATTTTTAAAATAATTTTCCTGCATTTCAAAGTCAATCAGGACAAGTAATCTTACTGTTTAACAGTAAGAGGAAATGTGTCACACAGTTCGTCTTGTCAGTTATAAATGTGTAAACAGTTAGTTTATCACAGATCTGCTGTTAAACCTGAAATAAATACACTTTTTTTTCTTTAACCCGTCCCGTGGGCTGCTGAATGTGCCCAAACCTGTCCTCTGAGATCATGTTTCTAAACGTAATACTATAAAAAAAGCCTGTGCCTAACCTGAATATATGATATTACCAGCCTATTAAAATGGAAACACAAAAGCATGGCTGTGAGGGAAAGCAAAACTGTGATACAGTCTCACACCTGGGGCTTCATTTTTCCTTTTCATCTTATTGTGTTCTGTTGAAAGTGACAAAGTGAAACACAAAACAAGTAAAAACAAAAAAGAACRTGCTTTCTACTCATTGGGATTTCTTTGACACAAAAATACAAAAATCCAGCAAATTCTTTCCTTGATCACAATGTAGTTGTTGTTGTTGTAGATGAACTTAAGATGTGGACCAAAGATTATTTTTCCTTTGCTTTTTTTAGACGTTTTTTTTTCCTAGACACAAAACAAATGTAGTGCACAATTGTCTACARTAAGTGTGCCCACGTTATTTACCAGGAAATGAATTCTTTTAGCCAAGCTGCGGGTCAGAAAATCTGCAGGTTATCTGACTTCGACAAACAAATCCAGGAAAAGCACATTCGTGTGGAGCTTAATCTCAAATCTTCTTACAGCACATTCTGTGAGGCCTGACACTCCACATGTGGGCAGGCTATAGGAACKCTGCACACACGGGGTTTTGAAACAGTGGTTTTCAGAGAGCGGACGTGTTAAGGCCAGTTAAACCGAATGCCATTCCTGGGGAAAAAAAGAAAAAAAAACTTTCCAAGGTTTTGTAACGCCCCTGATCACAGAGGGTTTCCCCTGGAAATAAGTAACAATAACACAAAGATCTGATTTTAAGGTTCAGGGTCACATCAGTGGACTGACATGTGGAGGACTCCAGGTTTCAGCCTGCAGAGGTGGATGTGGGTGTGTGTGTGTGTGTGTGTGTGTGTGTGTGTGTGT